CTCTGTCTCTCCCTCTCTTCACACTGTTCATTTCTTTTCTGTTTTCTGTCCCCGTGGCAAGGCCCGACTGTGCGCTGCGTCCTGCCTGACCCTCCTGCACCTCCGGCCTCCCAGCGGCCCCCTCGTCGGCGGTGGCGTCGAGCCTGTAGAGACTGTTAGCCGCCCTCAAGCCCGGGCTGGAGGGACCTCCCCTGACCCTGGGCTGCAGCGGGGGCACTTCTGTTTTCCTGCCCTGGGCACCTTTTCCTCTGAAAGCCCGTGGTGGGTGGTGGGCAAGGATTGCCGGGAAGGGAGGCCAGTACCAAGAGAGAAAGAGAAGAAAACAGCTGTTTTAATATATTTTTGTGACTTTCAAACTGTTTCCCTCCCCTCCTTCAGGGTGAGTCACAGGGTTGTTTTTCACACGAAGCACAATGTAGGTGGGGGTGCCAACGAAGGGTTGGGCTCTGTCCATGAAGGTCAAGGCTCCACGTGGGCCATGTCTTTGCTGCAGGGAGTAATGGTCACGGTCACCGTTCAGGTGGACTTCCTCTTCCCCTCACCCAGCTCCTCTTCCGCCACTGTGTCCTCCCCCTCCGTATAATTTACCTGTTTCTGCCACTCTGCCTGTTGGTGGCTTTCCAAGCTGCAGGCTCCCTTGTGAGGCAGCAGGTTCCTGTTGATCTGATCATACACCTGCTCGATGCTGCACAGCCCCTTACTCTGTGCCAGGCCTGTTCTAGGAGCTGGGGATCCGTTGGGAGCAAGGCAGACAAGCCCCTGCCTGCGTGGCTGACCTCTCTAGCCAGGCAGACGGCGGTAGGGGGATCATGCTGTCGAAAGAATGGGAGGGAGGAGCAGAAGTGGCCAGGGTCTCTTCCGATGTTGGGGGTAAGGAGGCCTTTCAGAGGAGGCAAGGTTAAGGGCTGAGCTGGGAACGGTCAGAAGCGGCTGTGTGAGGTGCAGGAGGAGAGAGGGTCCAGGCAGGGGACACAGCCAGGGCAAAGGTCTGAGGTCGGAGGAGCAAGGAACACAAAGGCCGGGGGGGGGGGGGGGGGGCCAGGGAGGGAGGGGCCTGCCACAGAGCACCCGTTGGGGCAGGTGGGCAGGGACCAGATGACCTGGGGCTTTGTGACCCGAGGTGAGGAATTCGGACATCTTCCAGAAGCCCTGAGAAGTTTGGGAGGGTTTAAAGCTGGCAAGCGATGGTCTGAGTTGCCTTTTATGAAGATGGCTTTGGCCCCCGTGAGGGGATAAATTGTGGGGAGGGCAGGGTTGGAGGCAGGGTGGCAGCCGTGCAGGAGCCGGGGCAAGGAAGGAAGGTGGCGTGGGGCGAAGCATGGGGAGGAGGGAGGCGCGGGCAGCGCAGATGGATGGGAAGTTGGGGTGCAGGGGGCGGGGAGCAGGGATCACCTAGAGGAGGGGCCGGAGCATCTAGCTGGTGCTGTTTGTGGAGACTAAGAGGTTGGGGAGGGAGGAGGCGAGGGCAGGAGGGCGCTGGGCTGCTGGGACTCAGAGGGGGTGGCACCTGGGCTGGGGACCCACAGCTTGGGGGAGCACTCAGGGAACTCTGTTCAAAGCCGAGGGCCTGGTGATACCAGCCGGAGAGGAGTATAGAGGCAGGAGAGGACCCAGAAGGGGATTGGGGGCCCTTTTCTCATTTAGAGAACAGAACTGATGTGATTAGCAAGGAATGGGCTGCAGTTTGGGAGACCTAAGAGCAGGTGAGGATGAGATGAGACTTCATCCATTTTTTTTTTTTAATGCGGTAAAATATACATGAGTGACCATTTTAACCATCTGTAAGGGCCCTGTCCAGTGGCATTAAGTACATTCCTGTTGCTGTATAACCATCACCACCATCCGTCGCCAGACCTGTGTCATCTTCCTGAGCCGATTGTCTGTTTATTTGTGGGTTTTGAGTCCTGTCACGTCGGGGGGCTGCTGTGTGTTGGGCAGTGGGCCGAGCACGGGGCCCGGGGTGTGAAGGGCTGGGCGTCGCTGTGAGGGCTGGTGGTAGGGCCCAGGCGAGGCCCGTGGGGCACTGCGTGAGGTCAGGCCTCTGGAGGGCAGCGGACGTGGACAGTGGTGATTCCGGAGGCTGCCCCTTCGTGGTGGTGGTGCCCCAAGGAGGGGCTCGCACGCCTCCGCACTTTCCTTGCTGCTCTTCAACTCTGTGTTACTAAATTTAAGAGCCCTGGGTAATTTCTTTTTTTTTTTTTAAAGATTTTATTTATTGAGAGAGAGAGAGAGAGAAACAGCATGACAGGGGAGAGGGTCAGAGGAGAAGCAGGCTCCCTGATGAGCCGGGAGCCCGATGTGGGACTCGATCCCAGGACTCTGGGATCATGACCTGAGCCGAAGGCAGACGCTTAACGACTGAGCCACCCAGGGGCCCCGGCTGTGTCCCTTCTTTCCGGTCACCTGTGGATCCTGTCACCCTCGGGAGCTGGGCCTGCCAATGGGGACCAGGGTGGAGAACCCAGAGTCCCGGCTCCCTGAACTCGGGCACTGGCCAAGCGTGGGGATGATCATGGTGGCTCGCAGCCAGGGCAGAGCTGTGGGCAGAAGGGCCGTACAGAAGCACATGGCCTTCGTGTTCTCAGTCTCCTCAGGCCTCCTTTGTGGCCTCAGTCTCCTGGTTGGCAGAGTGAGGGAGTCCTAATGCTGCTGAGCTCCTCGCAGGGGTGTGGGCGGGCTGAGTTCCACTGTCCGCGTGAAGCGCTCGGCCAGGGCCTGGCGTGTGGTGAGCATTTAATTTGTGGGAGCCGTGGTTTTGCGGCTACTCTTCTCTGGAGAGAATAATGGGAATAATGAGCCCTGTCCATCCCCTAGCCACTTCCGAGTGGATCCAGTTCTTTAAGGAAGCCGGCATTCCTCCGGGGCCTGCTGTCAATTACGCCGTGATGTTTGTGGATAATAGGTAAGGGGGCTGAGGGGACAGAGCGGGAACTTGGCGAGAGGAGGGGAGAGGTGGGGAGAGGTGGGGGGAGAAGGGAGCTGGCCGGCCCATCCATCCTGACCCACTGGTGGCCTCACTGGTGACCCTCCCCTGCAGGATCCAGAAGAGCATGCTGCTGGATCTCAACAAAGAGATCATGAATGAGCTGGGCGTGACTGTGGTGGGCGACATCATTGCCATCCTCAAGCATGCCAAGGTGGTGCACCGCCAGGTGGGTGCGCAGCCCAACCCCTTGGTCCCCGGGTTTAGGGTGCGGTGGAGGGACAGCAGCAGAGCCAGCAGGAGGCTTGGAAGCGAAAGCGGGCAGACCTGAGTTCCAAGGCTGGTTGTACCATTTGCTGTGTGACATTGGGCGTGTTGCCTAACCTCTCTGAGTCTTCCTTTCTCCATTGGTAGAATGCAGCTAGGCAGACGTATCTTGCAAGGTGGTTGTAAGTATTGAGTTAAATAAAGCCCCAGTACAGTGCAAATAGTGGGGCCTCAGTAAAGGCTCTCTATTGTCATTACTAGTTCTCATCTTCCTCATGATAATCATCATTAGCAGGACTCTTCTCTGTCCCCAGGACAGGAACCCCCGCTGTGGGACTCGGTCAGTGACTTGGCCAACAGCATGGTTATTCCATTCTTGGCCCCTCCACTTACACTGACCTTAGACGAGTGATCTTTACCTCCCTGAGTCTCTCTGAAACAGGCTTTTCACACTCCACTCCTGTATCGGGGACTGTGGCCACCTACCAGATAGTGTGTGTGGCACCAAGCGCCAGACCTGGAACGAAGAGCTTGTTGAATCTTGATAGCAGACACTTACCAAGGCTTTACCATAGCCTGCCAGGACCTGTCTCCATCCTTTACGCATTTTAACTCATTTATTGCTCACTGCACTCGACTGAGAAGGAAGCCTGCCTCAGAGCTGTGCTCTCAGACTCTCACTTTACCGAACACTGGCTGCTTCCCCCACCCAGGGACAGGCCTTCACCTGGCCATCATCCAGCCAGGACCCCACAGTGAGCGCTCTCTCAAGTCGGGGGCGTTCCCTGAGTTACCACAGAGCAGGTCACCGAGCAAAGCTTTTTTTTTCCCCTTTAAACTTTTAAATTCGGGAACAACTTTAGGTTTACAGAAAAATTCCAACAACAGTACAGAAAGTGTCTTATCTCCCTCATCGAGCTTCCCCTCACGCTAGCACCGCACACAGCCATGGCGCGTTTGTCAAAACTAAGAAACGAACGGTAGCACGCTCCCAGTAACTACACCACAGACTGCTTGGATTTTCTCAGTTCTTTCACCGATGTCTTCTTTCTCTTCCGCGAATACCGCCTTGCAATTCACTTAAGTCTCCTTACGTCTCCTTGGTCTCTGTTAATTTGTGACAGCTCCGTAGTCTTGCCCGGTGCTTGATGAGCTTGACAGTTTTGAAGAGTACTGGTCAGGTGTTTTGCAGAACGTTTCTCAGTTTGGGTCTTTCTGCTGCTTTCTCATGGTTGGGGGTGAAATGTTCTGAAATCTCTTCTCTAGCAGCTCGGGCTCTGATCCCTCCAGTGTTGCTCAGATTTCTGTTCCCGGACCTCGTGCCCTTGTCCCTCTGGTAACCCAGACACCTGTTTTTGTTGTTGTTGTTGTATTTTACAGGACATGTGCAAGGCTGCCACTGAGTCAGTGCCCTGCAACCCCAGCCCCATCCCAGGCGAGATCCGCCGCGGTGCCTCCAGCGGTGAGTCCCACCCACCGGGGGTCCCTTCCCTTTATTCATGGAGTTTAATTGTCCGGGGGACACACCTGGAGTCTGCAGGGGTGAAACAAAGCCATCTGAGGTTCTCTCAGCGGCCAATTTTCATTGGTGGCAGTTCTGTTCTATAAAGTTCTGTAAAGCGAACACTGAATTAGCGAGTCCCGAGTCGCTGCTCGCGGAGGAAATACAAGGTTAGGTTCCTGCGAGCCTCTGGTTACAACATCTTTGTCAACTGATCAGTGCAGACCCGACTTTATGTGTATTTCTGTTTAAAGACCTTTCATTTGTTATATGTTGTCGACGCGTTAACATCGAGCTCGGGACCAGCAGCACTGTAACACGTGCCTGGACGAAGCTAATCTAACACATATGTTTTCTCCGTAAGGCACATCACTTGGGAGTACTAGAAAGCACCTTGTCACTATGCTTGGGGGCCATTTTAAACAGCAAAGTCACTAAGATAAAGCACAAAAATGTAAAAACATGGCACGAAATAGACCGTGAGAAGCCTACTTGTTTACTTGTGTGAGAGCTGACCCAGGAAGGCAGAGCGTCACCTCGTTTGACTTCAGGGGGCGAGTGCATGTCAGGTGACTCAGGTCTTTCACCGTTCAGTGCCTGGCTGTGGATGACCACAAAAGGGCCACAAGTATTGGTTTTGGGGTTACAAATCAATGTTAGCGAAGAGGCAAATTTGCAAATAGGGAATCTGTGAATGGTGAGAACAGACTGTATTTATACATTTGTTTTTTTTCAGCAGGGTGATACCTTTTTTAAGAAAAATAAACCTGGGGCGCCTGGGTGGCTCAGTCGTTGGGCCTCTGCCTTCGGCTCAGGTCATGATCCCAGGATCCTGGGATCGAGCCCCACATCAGGCTCCCTGCTCGGCGGGAAGCCTGCTTCTCCCTCTCCCACTCCCCCTGCTTGTGTTCCCTCTCTCGCTGTG